AAAAAAAAAAAAAAGACAGGAAAGAAAGAAAAGACTGAAACTGATGTCATGAGAGACTCTGAAACTTGTTCTTGAATGGAGCGTAGCTAAAGCGAAAGGAAGAAATGATGAAGTAAAAGGGCTGAAAAGAAGATTTCAAAGGATGGCTTGAGAAGACAAGGTAAAGTATTATAATGAAATGTGCAAAGACCTGGAGTTAGAACCAAAAAGCAAGAACACACTCAGCATTTCTCAAACTGAAAGAACTGAAGAATTGAAAGATTCTGTGCATTATTCAATTTTTTGAACAATGCAGGAAAATGGGAGGGATATACAGAATTACCACACCAAAAAGAATTGGTAGACATTCAACCATTTCAGGATGTAGCATATGATCAAGAACTGATGATACTGAAGGAAGAAGTCCAAGCTGCACGGAAAACATTGGTGGAAAACAAGGCTCCAGGAATTGACGGAATACCAATTGAGATGTTTCAACAAACTGATGCAATGCTGGGAGAACTAACTTGTCTATAGCAAGAAATTTGGAAGACAGCTACCTGCGAACCAACTGGAAGAGATCCATTTATGTGCCCATTCCAAAGAAAAGTGATCCAATGGAATGTGGAAATTATTGAACAATATCATTAATACCACACCCAAGTAAAATTTTGCTGAAGTTAATTCAAAATCAGTTGCAGCAGTACATCTACAGGGAACTGCCAGAAATTCAAGCCAGATTCAGAAGAGGACATGGAATGAGGGATGTCATTGCTGATGTCAGATGGATTTTGGCTAAAAGCAGAGAATGCTAGAAATGTGTTTACCTGTGTTTCATTGACTATGCAAAGGCATTAGATTGTATGGATCGTAACAAATTATGGATAATGTTGCAAAGAATGGGAATTCCAGAACACTTGATTGTGCTCATGAGGAAACTGTACATAGACCAAGAGGCAGTCATTCAAACAGAACAAGGGGATACTGCATGGTTTAAAATCAGAAAGGGTGTGTATCAGCGTTGTATTCTTTCGCCATACTTATTCAATCTGTTTGCTGAGCAAATAATCTGAGAAGCTGAACTATATGAAGAAGAATGTGGCATCAGGATTGGAGGAAGACTCATTAACAGCCTGCCTTATGTAGATGACACAATCTTGCTTGATGGAAGTGAAGAGGACTTGAAGTGCTTACTGATGAAGGTCAAAGACTACAGCTTTCAGTATGGATTACACCTGAACCTAAAGAAAACAAAAATCCTCACAACTGGACCAATAAGCAACACCATGATAAATGGAGAAAATATTGAAGTTGTCAAGGATTTCATTTTATTTGGATCCTCAATCAATGCTCATGGAAGCAACAGTCAAGGAATCAAACAATGTATTGCACTGGGCAAATCTGCTGCAAAAGACCTCTTTAAAGTGTTCAAATCAAAGATGTCACTTTGAAGATTAAGATGTGCCTGACCCAAGCTGTGGTATTTTCCATCACCCCCTATGCATGCAAAAGTTGGACAATGAATAAGGAAGACCAAAGAAGAATTAACACCTTTGAATTATGGTGTTGGCAAAGAATATTGAATATACCATGGACTGCAAAAAGAACAAACAAATCTGTCTTGGAAGAAGTACAGCCAGAATGCTCCTTAGAAGCAAGGATGGCGAGACTTCTTCTCACATACTTTGGATATGTTAACAGAAAGGGCCAGTTCCTGCAGAAGGACATCATGCTTGGTAAAGTAGAGGGTCTGAGAAAAAGAGGGAAACCCTCAATGAGATGCATTGACACAGTGGCTGCAACAATGGGCTCAAACATAACAGCGATTGTGAGGATAGCACAGGACCAGGCAGCGTTTCATTCTATTGTACCTAGGGTCGCTATGAGTCAGAACCAACTCAACAGCACCTAATAACAACAACAGCACTAACCTAAAAGGTTGGTGGTTCAAACCCACTCAGCAGGGCCGTGGAAGACAAACCTGTCGATCTACTTCCATAAAGACTGCTGTTGTTGTTAGCTGCCGTCCAGTTGGCCCCCACCTAATGGTAACCACATGTGTTACAGAGAACTGCTCCATAGGGTTTTATTGGCTGTGCCACCCAGGATCCTTCCTTAAAGATTACAGCCAAGAAAACCCTATGGAGTAGTTCTACTGTGTAGCACATGGGGTCATCATGAGTCTGAATCGACCTGATGGCAATAGGTTTGGTTTGGTTTTGCTATTTCCTCCAGACCCAACATGGACCCTTATTTACTTCCTGAAGTCCCTGATGGAGTTAGTTGTCTTTGGGGCATATACGGTGAAGGAAGATGGATGTTAAGGTAAACAGAAGAGATAGAGAGGGGCTGGGGGAGGGGAGGAAACAAAATGGAGGTTCCCAGGCCCAGTTCTCAGCCCTCCTTCCCCATGCCTAGACTCTCTCTGCATTCTTCTTATCTGTTCTCCTGGATCAAATCTATTTCTTAGTGCTTGATTCTCTCACTCCTTCCTCATCAACCTAACTGAAATGTAAGTTGGACAAGACAAGGAGCCTCCCTTCTGGACCTAGAAGAGTATCTTAGACGATGCTCCGGAGAGGATGGTGACCCTACAAGTGATGGCCTTTTTCTCTAGCATTGTAGCCACTAAATCACCCCTGACATTCATTCCATTTCTGACACTCCATCCCTGAGACTCGTCATAATTCCACACTCATCCCATTCCTAAGCTTCACTCCATACATTATCCCAAACCCATCTTGAACTTCCCTATCTCTGACCCCTCATTGCATCCGTGAATCTCAACACCCCACCACCGAGCCTCTCCCTATTTCTTAAGCTCTCTCTATTCCTGACGTTCATCCTTCTCTTACCACCTTATCCCAAGTTGCCACACCATCCCTGGTCCTTCATCTCAACTCTGATTCCACCCAATCCCTGATCTCAACCTCACCCTTGATCTAAATTCCATCTCTGTGCCTCATCCCATTCCCAACCTTAAGCCATCTCTGATACTTCCTCAACCCATATAAACCAACACGTTCTCAGTTTTGCTTCAACTGGTTTAGTTCCACATCTGTCATTTGCAATCAGAAGATCCTTGACTTCTTCAGTGCTCATGGGTAACAGTTTTACACTGACAAAAATTTGATGAAGATAAACCACAAAGGAAAACTTGATGAGTGAAATATGTTTCCAAAGACAACAGGGGGGTGGAGGAGTGGGGAAAATACAGATAAAAGGATTTTGGGGCCAATGGTGTGTAAATGGTTTGAGCCTTTTTTTAATTCATTGGTTCATTCAATAACAGGGACCTTGTCATGGATTGAATTGTGTCCCCCAAAAATATCTGTCAGCTTGACTGGGTCATGATCCCAGTATTGTGTATGATTGTGTACCATTTCGTAATCTGATATGAATTCCTTATGTGTTGTAAACTCAATCACTGTGATGTAATAAGATGGATTAGTGGCAGTTATACTGATGAGGTATACAAGATTGGATAGTGTCTTAAGCCAATCTCTTCTGAGATATAAAAGAAAGAAGCAAGCAGAGACACATGGGAACCTCATATCACCAAGAAAGCAGGGCTGGGAGCAGAGCGTGTCCTTTGGACCTGAGGTTCCTGCACAGAGATTCTCCCAGACCAAGGGAAGACTGATGCATGACAAGGACCTTCCTCCAGAGCCAACAGAGAGAAACCCTTTCCCTGGAGCTGATGCCCTCAGTTTGGACTTGTAGCCTACTAGACTGTGAGAGAATGAATTTCTCTTTTTTAAAGCCATCCACTTGTAGTATTTCTGCTATAGCAGTACGAGATGACTAAGACAGACCTCAATAAATATTTACTGATCATTTAATAGGCTCCAGGCAGTGTGTCAGGCACCAGGGATACAGGGCTCCTGCCTTCAAGGATTGGAAGAAAGGTCTGGCCATCTACTTCAGAAAAATCAGCCATTGGAAAACCTATAGAGCACAGTTCTACTCTGACTTATAGGGTCTCCGTGAGTTGGAATCAACTAGATGGCAACTGGTTTTGGTTTGCCTTCAAGGAGGGAAAACAGACAAAGAAATAACTGAAATAAAGTGTGCTGAGTGTTGCAAAGGGGAGACTGTGAGGTACTATGGGATTATTTGGAGGGCCAGGAAGCTAATATAAGGGAGCCTGGAAAAGGAGTTTATGTGCCCCCAAGAGTCTGTTCTAGCAGGAGTTAAAGCCCCAGGGAACACTGCCCATCAACCCAGACAGGTGACTCTTCTTTGGGTGCTGCCCCCATTCTACTGCAGGAACAGCCAACACCACCACACACAAAACTTACTCTATGTCACAACAAAGGTTCTTCCAGAAGGGCCAATATGGAACAGAAATTTATTAGAAAAATATAACCGTCCAGCCGATTGATGACTCTGTATGGGTTTGTGAAGTTGCTGATGGTCCATATCAGACCAGAAGCTCCAAGAGGGAAAAGGCTAAAAGCTGCTCATCTTGTTCCATATAAGGCACAGCATGGCCTCATGCACAAATGGCGCCCAACACATTCTGCGTACAATGTTTGTTATGGGACAAAGGCGACCCTCTTGCAAGAGTTCTGCCTTCCCAACCCCTCTCTCCCTTTGTCCACCCATCACTCCCAAGAGGAAAATGTTTTCAAAACTGCATCACAAGACCATGTGGTGGTTTGATGTTTAGGTAGCACCTGCCTCAATGTCCCCAGCAGACACTACCCAAAATGAGAAAACATTTCCATCAGCTCTGATCAGAGGACGAAGTGCTGCCAAACAGCCTAGTGGGAAAGTTGGTATAATGCTCAGGGTTGAGGTGATGTTTTGGGGAGAGTCAACAAGACAATCGAGCCCACATAAGGAAACAGCTTCAGTTCCAACTCTTTGTTCTAATGGCAGATTCAGGTTTCAGATGTGGCCATGGTAATTACCAAGCAAGCAAGTCAAAGATGCAAGAGTTCAGCAGAAATTATGACACATCCTTTTCATGGAGGTGTCAAGGTTCCTCCTTAGTAGTATCTCAGCACATCCTTAGAAAGTGGACTTGGCCCATGAAGACACCAATCTCTAACTTCCACACATTCTATCGCCTCTCTGCCAAACCCAGATAGTATCTCTCCACAGCCAGACCACTCACCCTCTGGGGTGATGGTTATCATTTCATTTCCTTATGAAGATGAAACATTCTTTGACTGATGGTTTCAGAGGTTTGCAGGGACATTGATAGAGGAAGAAGTATAGGAGGTAATGCGATGACGTGCCAAGAAGTCCTTGCTAACCAGGCCACGGGCAGCCAGGATCTTGAGGAATCCATTGCGAAAATTCTGGCCAATAAAGGCATAGATGATGGGGTTGAGGCAGCTGTGGAGGAAGCCAAGAATCTCAGTGGCATCCAGGGCCCGGCCAACGTCGTTTCGACGCTCACAGGTCTCCTTGATCACCCCAGTCCTCATCAGGGTGTCTGTGACCAGAACCAGGTTGTAGGGCAGCCAGCAAAGCAGGAAGACGAGTACGACAACAAAGATGACCTGCATCGCCCGGTACTTCTGCTTCATGTGGGCCTCCAGCAGTGTGCGCAGGGTGAAACCATAGCAGAATACCATGACTAGCAGCGGCAGGATGAAGCCAAAGGTCTGAGGCAGGATCCGGAGCACCAGCCTCCATTTTTCTGTATTGTTCCCAATGTCCTCATAGCAGACTATGAGGCTGGAATAGGGAAGACGATAGGCCTGGCGGAAAAGGAAAAAGGGCAGGGACAGAATCAGAGACAGTACCCAGATGCCCAGACATATGAACTTGACCAAGTGGCGCTTCTGGGTCAGCGTGCGTGTGGCATGGACAATGGCCAGGTAACGATCCACGCTGATGCATGCCAGCAGTAGAATACCACTGTAGAAGTTGACTTCCTTCAGGAGCGAGACCACTTTGCATAGCGGTGTGCCAAAAGTCCAGCCATTCTCCTTGGAAGCAGCCCAAATGGGCAGTGTCAGGGCAAATAACAGGTCAGCTATCGCCAGATTCAGCAGGTAGACATCCGTGACAGAGCGGCTGACCTGGTTGTATAAGATGACCAGCATCACCAGGGAATTTCCCAGCAGGCTCAGCAGGAACACCAGAGCATAAATGGTGACCACAACATACTTGTTGAGTGTCTCAGTTTCTGTGTTACAAGGGACAACATCTTCTTCTAAGGGTGGCATGCCAGTGAAATTTAAAACTCCATCAAACAACTCCCATAGATCAGTAATATTCCATATGTTTTCTGTGATATCAGCCATGGTCTGGTCTAGTTGAAAGATTAGAAGGAAAGAAATGTGACTTCATAACTCACATTCAAGTCACTCACATCAACAATGCAAGAACAATTACTGGGATATCTTTAGCTTCTTTGTAGGTTTGGCAGCCAGAAAACCCCACCTTCACCCCTACCTCCAACTTGGGCTTCTTTAAAGGTTGGCTTCACAGTGTTATCAGAAGTTAGAGGTTGGCCTGGCCTAAGTATGGAATAAGACGGAATACAGGGGAAAAACCTCTGCCCTTGGTTGGCCCTACACCTGCCTCAACTCTACCCGGGTCCCCTCTTTGGTCTTCTCCATCCTCAACCACGGCTGAGTATTCAGATGGAAAGACCAGGTCAGTCTTATGCATTTAGAGGAGGGCTAGCATTAACCAAAATGAAAAGAGACAAACCTGTTCCTAGCGGTCTCTTTCTATGTTATTTTCCCTCCTATGTCCTTCCTGAGTCTTCTTTACCCCTGCTTAAAACCTGCAGGGGGGAGGAAGTGATAGCAACGAATTGCATAGTAAGTGAACTTTAAGCCTTGTCTCTAAATGAGCAATAAAAGTTTTGGTCTTCTGTCTAAAGAAATTTTAAGCATTTGGGAGGATGAAGTCCCTACCCTGGCCCCTGAAATAATCTCCTAAGCATCCACAGAATCATTCAGGAGCATTCAAATATTCTTTAATTCTTTAATTTTTCAGTTGTGAAACACTTTGTTGAAACTAAATCCTCTCAGAAGTCAATATTTAAAACAGATAAAAGCTCAGCTGCTATAGGGGAAGGGTGTGCTGCCCTCTCTACCCAGGCAGCTCTAACGAGGGTTCCCGAAGGTCCCCACGGCTCTCCAGGGAACAATCTGAAAAGCTTTAGAAAGATCCCCAGATTGGAAATAAAGATATCTAGTATCCAGTCCTGATTCTACCCTGATTCTATCATTAATAAGCTGTGTGATCTTGGGTGGATTCATTTACCTCTTGAGTTTTCTTATCTGAGATTGAGGGGGACAGAGTAGATAACCTCTAGGTTACTTCCAGGTCCGAGTTTCTATGACTAGTTCATTTAGATCCACATGCTGTAGTATATTCTCTCCCTGCCAGTATTTGCATTTTCACAGAACATAAAGTCTTGGGGCAAAGCAAAAAAGATCAAACTGGAGAACTGTAATCCTCTGTCCCACAAAAGGAAGTGGTATAAAAGGAGCAGAAGAGGAGGCTGGGCCCATCTTGTTACCAACTGCAGCCATGTATGAAGTCAGATTTGAGTACATAGTCCACAGATAAGGGATTTAAATTTCAATTTAACAGAAATCCTCATGCCCCAGAGAAATGGATGCATTTCCTAGAATACTGTGAGACAAAGCCCCACTCCCTCAAAGAAAGTTCTGGCAAACAGAGGTAACTCCCTACCTGAGGCACTGGCCAGGTGTGTCCAACCGCAAGAGCCCGCAGCTCAGAGAGTAGAAGTGTCTTAATAGTGAAAGGGAACTAGATAAAACCATGTCACATCATACCTCCTGTCTATGCCCCGCCCATGTCTATGTTTGCAGAACAGACTAAGTTACATGGTCAGGGAGCATCAGAGACTCCCAGGGTCCATATGTCCCAGCAGGGGTGCCAGGTGTGAAGCTGGAGTTAAGGGTCCATTATATGAATTTCTCATTCTATGTACAATCACTGTTCTTCTTTTCTTGCATTTACTTCCATTTGTTTATCCCTTAAATTTCCTAGCAGATTGCCTTTGAAAGCTTCCAACTTGCCTTACACGAATAAAGAAGAAAGGACTTGACTTCATACAGTGGGGACTTCACAACTTCTAGGAAGGAGGAACTTGGAGACAGTCTGGTGGAAAAGAGGTGGACAATAAGCACACAATTTTTACTCATAGACTTCTTTGTGGTGATTTGAGGGCTGCTAGAGATGTCAGTGGTGATTTGGAGGGAGAACTAGCTCCCCCTCCACTGCCAGCCACTCCTTGGCACTACCACGGCCAATGATTGGTTGATTAAAATGGCGCTGAGGCTGAGGGCATGAGGCCACTCGTAGAGATTGGCTGGACATCTGGGAGACCATAAAAGCTGGGGCAAGCAGTAAATGGAAGAGTTGAGGGTCAACGGTCATTGCTGCTCCACTCTAGATAATAAAGGACAGTTTCTCTGGGTCACCATGAGTCAGAATCAGCTTGAAGGCAATAGGTTCGGGTTTCTTTGGCTTCTCTGAGAACTTGCCTCAGGTGTTCCCAGCAATTAATGGCTGTCCTCTGGCTTTATGACTCTGGCACTTTAGTCACTCATCCTTTACAGTATGAACCCTGTTGTACAGGAACGATGTGTTTACAAGTCTGTCTTCCCCATTTGACCAGGAACTACTAGAGACCAGGGACCCCATCGATTCATCATTGTATCCTCTGCCAGGGAACACAGTAAGTGCTTGATCAAGAAGTGTGGAATAAATGACATTAGACAGATCTCCTGTGGTTCGTGGACACCACCATGATTCAGAGTTTCTATCGCTTTCAGCCATACACTCATACTTAAAGCATGTCTGAAAACTTCTCTACCATACAGCCAGTTTGGTTTGTCTGGCAGCATTGTTGCTTTTCAATCATCCTCTATTGTTTGAAGTTAGTGCCAATCTGTGAAAGTGTAAGCCCTTCCCCTACCATAAATGCCAAATTAACCGTGTCACTGGTACCTACAATTCTTCCACTGGCAAGCAGATTGTTGAAGCAAAGTCATGCTGTCTTCCTGGGTTCTCTGATCATTTGGAAGTAGTAGCAGGAAAATGTGAGGAGAAAAGTTGCATTGGGGCTACCCATGCACTGTTTTACTGATGTTGCCCTATTGTGGTCTGATGAGGTTCAAAAATGCCTAGACTAGAAAGGACTCAAAGAAGGGGTAGTCCCTGAAGGGACTGGACATCCCCCTATTAATTCATTTAGGGAAAAGGTAGCTCCTGGGGCATAAAGTGGTGACTAAAGAGGCACAGGAGAAAAGGGACTATCTGGAGCCTTGGCTGCAAAATGCCTCCATGTACACAAGAGCAAGCTGAGGTGATGGGGAAAAATGGTTTCTGCCACAAGGGGGCAGCAGCGGCTGGACAGAGAGGCCCCTGCCAGTGACCTACTGAGAAACACCAGGGCCAGGAGCAGTCTGATTTAATACTCAGTTCTTCGTGTATAGTTCCCTTCTGTTTTTCCTAAGCACTCAGTCAAGTCGGTTCAGCATCCCAGTCTACTACAACTAATCACTGCAGTATTAGGGAAGGATCTGGTCCCCCTAGAGCCTGAGAAGTAAAGGAGCAGCCCCTCTGAAGGGGCACGGTGATGTCAGTGGCAACTGCTTAGCTCTCCAGTGGGAAGGTCGATCTGGAGGACAAGAGTCGTGTCGCAGAGAAAAACTTGAAAACTGTTTCAAGTTAAAACAGAGAGATTTATTAAAGTTTTAAAACAATTGCAATTGGGGAACTACGTAGTCCATTGAAAATGGAACCAGGTAGTCCCGGGGCAGTTTTGTTATACAAATATTCTTATGGGGTAAAAAGAGGAATCAAACCATAAGGAGGGCAATTACAGGAAAATCAATTAATATTGTAATAATCACACTCTGATTGGTTAGTGATCATTAATAGTATAGTTAGGGATTACAGATAGTTTCACAGAATGCTTATATCATGGTCGTGAGATGCTTACATGTATTTTCTTTGTCTGTCTTGCAAAAACATCTTTTTGGCAACAACACCCAGACAGCACTCTTCCTGAGTACATGTATTTTGAGGGGTGCAGATGGTCATTTGGTTAAGCCCCCTCAGGGCATATGGTTTCACATCCTGATTTTGACCACCGAAGAAAAACATATTTTTCTCAGAAAACATAGCTGTTAGTCTAGAAATCCAGATTAAAATTAGATAGCATGGTCAGCATATTATGCCTCTGTCCCACTGACTGCACTGAAAGTTGTCTTTTCCTGAAACATTTGAAAAGAACATTTCTCTTGATGTTAGAAAAGAGGATTTCACTGCAGCAGGGGAAAAAGTATATATAGATGAGCTTGGAATAAAATTTTGTCCACTTGAAAATGTTCCAGCTAGTCCACCCACCCAATGTATTTTCTGTACCTCTCTTCCCAACTATAACTGCTCCCTCTTAATCTGATCTATAATGTTTCTGATGGGAAAACATTTTTCATTCTATGCAGAACACTTAGTGCCACAAAGATTGTTATGGCAGGTTCAGCCTTAATGCCAGTCAACTGGCAGAATGTGAGGGTCTCTTTGGGGTAATTCTGTTCTTGCCACTTTGTTTTAAATATGTTTCCTATGCAAGACCGTGTGAACAACACAATATGGCTGTAAGTATGTCTATCTTGTCCCCACATCAGCCTTGATACCAGGATCAGCAACTCTTACACTCCTCCAGAAGAATCCACTTCAACCTCGAAACAAAAGGAGAGGCAAGAGAGATGGAGGACAGGAGTCACCCCTCCCCCATGATCTTCACCACAGTCTCGATGATTGGCTCAGGGGGTAAGTATGTGACCTAAGATGATCCAATCAGAGCATAGGTCAGGATATTTGTTCAATAACTGGAAAAGCAAGTATATAGCCTTGTGGTTGCTGGCAGCCATTTTGCTGCCATAAATGGCAAAGTCAATCCAAGGACAAAAATTAATGCACAGAAAAGAGCAGAGCTGGGAGAATCACAGAGAAACTGAGCCAAAGTCCTGAACAAACCATGTCCAGAGAGGCACCTTCTCTCCGCACTTTTCAGTCACATGAACCAATTATTTCTCCTTATGATTTAGACTAGCTCAAGTTGAATTTTCTGTTACTTGCAACCAAGAACATGCCCAGCCAAGAGAGTTTTGGAAACAAATGATCTAGGATGAGAGGAGAGGGGTCAA